GTACATTTCATTTGTAGATGTTGAAACATGCATGATTAGCTCTGCACTCTTTGGAAGTATAAAATGGTGGTCTGTTCATTGTATATGTCTGCTCTGGTCTAGCCAGGGGAAATCTATGCTTTAGAGCCACTTACAGGTGTAAAGAGACCAGCTCCCAATAGAAGATGCCTCATGTGCCAAGTGCTTCCTCATGAATGATGCTGCCACTAGGAAGCCACTCACACTTCACAGAGATCTTTGCTGGCTATCATGAAATGTGGGCAACTCAATAATATGGACCCACTGTGATACTGTAACACAACACTTTCTTCAAAAGTATGGGACACAAGGCCACATGACTGTGATTTTCTATTACTATTATGTGAAGGGCTCTTCCTACCCCCTACATTCAATCTTTTTTTTTTAGGCATAGTAACATAAGTACAAATAATTAATTATTGATTTGACAACTGTTCTAGTCAAAACACACTGCCATGTGTTGTTTTTCTTGTCATATTTGGAATTTAAATTTGCTAATTTTTTCAATTAAATCTGGGTACCACAATATGTTTCTTGGACTCCATTTAGTTATTAGCAGGAAAATATGCTATTATACAGCTGAGTGAATTTATTGTTTTATAAACTTTGGTGTTTATTATTAAAGATTAAGAGCCCTAAGGAGATAGCAATTTGGGGCTTTATTGAGACTATGCATTCCATTTTTTTTTGTAGATGTACTTTATTTTCCCTCAAGTATAGTTTAAGGTAAAATGAGATACACAAAAACTTAACTTCTCAAATTACATTTAAATGTTTTGTGAGGGCACAGGGAGACGGGTTCTCTTAATTCTGGCGTAAGACGTTAAGTTGGTAGAATCTTTCTGAGTAGCAGCTGACCAAAATCTTCCCAGATTTAAACTTTATAAAGTGTTAAGTAAGGCTAAAATGCAGGAGTAGATGTGAGACAGTTGGGGCAGTATCAACAGGGTAAGGGGAGGTGTATCCAAGACATACACTGCCGGCGGGTAGGGCAGGGAGCTGGAGTTGGCAGACAGCACTAACAGCTATCCACTGTAGGACACGAGAGCCCAGTTTTAATGGGGAAGGCATCCATGGAGTGTGGAGGTACTTGGAAGGGCCCAGGGTCAAATAAGACAAAGGTGTCTTTGGGATTGACCCATACCAAGGTTCAAAACCACACAGAAGTCAGGCAGGGTAGCATGTGCTTATAGTCTCAGTTCTGTAGTCAGCTGTGAGGGGAAGAGTGAGTGAGCCTATGAGTCTAAGGAGAACCTTAGCAACATAGTGATACCCTGTCTCAAGCAAGCAAACAACAAAGAAGGACGCAAATACAAGAGTGGACATTTTAAGGTTTCTGAGCTCTGAAAATCGGTGTCTACACAGTCAGTAGGAAAATGTTAGCTGAATTGTGGAGAGAATGGTAGCATGATGCAGGCTTTGATCGAATCAGTAAACAAATGGAAGATACTGTGAGACATGGTTCTTACAGTTGAAGAATCAAGTTGGAGACATTGGAAGAAGCCTCAAATAAACCTCAGGCTTTTGAATTGGAGTTGGGAATACTGGCATGAACTCAGAATTTAAATTTGTTTTTTTTTTTTTACCAATAGTTATAGGAACAAGCAAATGTAAGATTTATATGTGTGCACATATTTTGTGTGACCAAACTTTTCCTGAGGAGATCCAACACACATTTACTCACCCCAGATAGGGAGCCCATAGCACCCCAAGTATAGATGCCACCAAAGTCCAGCTTGGTCATCCATGAGCTTTATTTGGGTTAGTTACAGAAATATAGGTGAGAGATCACTTACAGAAGCAGAAATAACTCAAAGACAGGTGCATCACTAAAGTCCACCCCAGTGTGGGTGGCAGCTCACCAAAGCTGGGCACCTGGAGCTCACTGAACAGCATGTGGCCAGCTCAATTGGTTAAAGAGTGTCCCTTCTAAGTGACTCCTGTCTAAACCTCTTCCTGGCAGCTCCACTGGTCTCTACCTCGGACTGAAAGGTTGGTCTTTCTAGCTCCATGAATCCTCAGACTGCAATCCTAGACTGCTGCCTCTCCTCAATGTGACTGGAGACTAACTCTTTCATGAGACCCTTTGCTTCTTCCTTTTATACCTCGATAGTGCTGGGATTTAAGTCCTGTGACCCCAAGTGCTGATATCATCTTTGTGTGAGCTGTTTCTCTTTAGGACTGGATCAATTTCGTGTAGCTCAGTGTGGCCTTGAACTAACAGGAATCCATCTGCTTGTCTCTTGAGTTCTGAGATTAAAGGTGTGTGCCACCACTGCCTGGCTCTGTGGCTAGCTAGTATGGCTGCTGGGATTAGGAGTGTGTATCACCACTGCTTGGCGCTATGGCTTGTAGCTGGCTTTGCATCCTGAACCCTCAGACAAGCTTTATTAAATCATAAATAATATGTCACCACACTTTATAGCTTACTCCAGCAGGGAGGGGCCTAATGCATCTAGTCAGTTTCAGGCACTTCCTAAAGCTATTTTGAATTCTTTACCTTCTTGCTAACAGAGCTTCTCTGCAGCATGGAATGCTTCAATCTCAGGAAAAACTGTTACACAACAGCATGTGAGTGCATGCATGTATGTGTGCATATATGTACACTTGTCTATTTATAGGTTCACTCTCTGTGTTCACTAAGAACTCAGAAAACCCTGCAGTATTAGTAGCAATGAGCACGCCTACCATTTAGATTGTGGGTTATAAATACCTTTCAGTACTAAAGAACTAAAGATCATTGTATAAATGGTGGCAGACCTGGGGAAGGAAAGTAGAAACCAAGCCTGAATTATCTTATTATGCCAAAATCAAGAAGTGGTCAAAGAATGAAAGCAGTGTGTAACAATAAGTCTTTCTGCCTGGCCACCCAAGTTCTACCCACCGCCATGTTAAGGTCCCAAGTAACACACAGAAACTTACATTAGGTACGAATGCTGCTTGGCCAATGACTAGGGTTTCTCATCTGCTAGCTCAGTTTTGATTATCATAAATCTATATATCTTATAAGACTTATCTTATGGGACGCCAGCAGCAAACATCCTGTCTTCTCGGGCTCACATGGTGACTTTGTGCTTTCTCCTACCTTTCCCAGAATCCTCCTTGACTCCTAGTCCCACCTATCTTGTTTTCCTATTGGCCAATAGTACTTTATTTATCAACCAATAAGACAATCCTATACACAGAAGGACCTCCCCCATCAGTAGTATATTCAGAATACAATGGCAGCTTGGGCAGGTTGAACAGGTCTGGGATAATCAATGAATTGAAATATGTTATGGGCTGGAGAGATGGCTAAGTGGCTAAGAGCCCTTATAACTCTTTTTTTAAATATAGATTTTATTTAAATAAGAAACAACCTTATTTTATATATCAATCCCAGTTCCCTCTCCCTCCCATTCTCCCATGTCCCCACTAATCCCCCTATCCCATCCCCCATCCACTCCCCAGGGAGGGTGAGGCCTTCCATGAGGATCATCAAAATCTGTCAAGTCATTTGGGGCAGGGCCTAGGCCCTCCCCTGTGTTTCTAGAATAAGAGAGTATCCCTCCATGGGAAATGGGCTCCCGAAGTCCGTTAGTGCACTAGGGATACATCCTGGTTGCACTGCCACAGAGGACTCAAGATCAGTTCTCAGCACCCACATGGCTACTTATAACTGCCTGTAGCTCCAGTTCTAGGGGAACTAACGCCTTCTTTTGACCTCCTTGAGCTCCTTCATGCACATGATGCTCATAAACTCACACGGGCACACACACACACACACACACACACACACACACACACACCATAAAGAAATATAAAAACAATTTATGATGCTAATGAATTATAATCTACTGAATCCCAGAGTTTGTGATGAGTGAATGAAGGAATGAGTTTGAAGTTTGAAAAAAATGGGATAATGTATGGCTTCAAAATACCTTCCCACAAAATCCTTATTAATTACAACTGGAAAAGAATTGCTTTATATAAAGAGACATGATCAACATCCCTTAATCAGGCAAAGTTAGCAGAGGGACTGACAGCGCAGGCTGAAATCATGTACCACCTGACAGGACACAGAAACCACAGCAGCAGGACTTCTGTGATGTGTGTAATGCTACACCCGGACTCCAATTACAAGGCAACAACGGTGAACTCCGGCCCAGAGACAATCTATCAAAAAATTGACCTTCAATGCAGCAAGGTCACACAGGTGAAGAAGGCCTGAGGAACTCCATCATAAATAAGACTGAAGAGAAAATTAACTGCACCCTGTGGCTGCAGCCCGGATCCTTTAGATATTTGGGGCATTTGAGTCAATTCATGGAATCTGAGATGAATGGTGCACCAATGTTAACTTTCTCATTTTGATGGCTGTGTTTGTGGATAGGAAGGAGAACGTCTAATACAAATAGTTTGGGGCTGGAGCTGAAGCGTCATGTCAGCCACTCAGTTTCATATGACTCTGGATAAAATTATTTGCTCTATTCTTTTTTTTATAGTTTAATGTATTTTAATAGCAAACATACAGGAACAGCAAAGAAGACAGACAACATTAAGAACATGTACTTGCATGTAGGACAACTCAGAAAAGTATAGTGAATGGATGGAATCTACTGTATGATAAAAATGCTACAAACACCATTTAGTTGCCGTCAATAAGAAATTTACTTATTAAAAAAAAATCCAAATGCTGGCATTGTCCAGAAAATTTTAATAGGTTTATTTATAATTGTTATAAAGTTGAACTGTTGAAATGTGTTCACTGAAACATTTTGCTTGCATTAATGCTTTACATCTTGCCTTTATATTAAAAATTCACACACAAATGAAAATGGAAAAACTGCCAATACCTGATTTCTGTCCCCTATTTTTCCACTCGCAATCATATACTTAGGTACCTTTTGACCCCATGGAAAAAATATCTAACATTCAGAACTACTGATAACAGGAAGAGGAAACAAATTTGAGAATGAAATGTTTCCCCTCATAATGGACTCTTAAGCGCGTACTCCGCATATGCGGCGTGCTAGCTGGACATCTTTTGGCATAATTGTTACACGTTTGGCTTGGAGAGCACACAGGTTGGTATCTTCCGAAAGGACAACCAGATAGGCCTCACTTGCCTCCTGCAAAGCACCAATAGCTGCACTCTGGAAGCACAGATCTGTTTTGAAGTCCTGAGCAATTTCTCGAACCAGTCGCTGGAAGGGGAGCTTGTGAATCAGAAGTTCAGTGGATTTCTGATAGCGTCTGATTTCACGGAGTGCCACAGTACCAGGCCTGTAACAACGAGGTTTTTTCACACCTCCAGTAGAGGGCGCACTCTTGCGATCGGCTTTTGTAGCCAGTTGTTTCCTGGGTGCTTTACCACCGGTGGATTTGCGGGCAGTCTGCTTTGTACAGCCATGGTAAGAGCACCTCCTTACTTTCCCCGCTTCTCCTTCGGCTGGAGCTCAGCAAGCGAGAGGCTGCGCTGGCATTAGAGAGCGAGCGCCGGTGACGGCTGCCATTTGCTCTATTCTTACAACTTTCCGTGAGTCTGAATTTGTTTCATCATACAAAGCTTTAAAATGCATAGAGAAACTCTGTTGTTAGAAGGAGGTTACAAATCAATGCTTCTATGCTACATTCTTTCATATGTGCCAAGTGTCATATGTAAAATAATACTCAATGCACACATTGTAGTTAGATCGTCCATACTAAGAACTCCATAAACCTAAGCTTGTTACTGCTACTGTTTTCCACGACTCAGCATCCAGTTTGTAGGAACTGTGTGGAGGAGCAGGCATCCTCTAGGGGTATATGTCCCAAATCTGTTTCTGTGCCTAGGGGCTGAGGGTCACTCTCATTAACTGAAGCACATAGAGGAAAGCTAGGATGATATCTAACCGGAAGTTGCTGAGCACTGAATAAATACTGAGGTAGCTTCCACAAAACTGATTGCCAGTCAAAGACTGTGTTCTCTGGGGCACTTCTGGATAACACTGTGTGGGTGTGTGAACACATGTGTGGTGGTAGAGTGCTCATGTATGTATTCTCATCTGGAGACCCAAGTTTGATATTAAAAATCTTGCTTAGGTCTCTTTCCGTCATCTCTCCAAGGAGGCAGACAGATCTCTGTCAGTTTTTCCTCTCTCTCCCCCTCTCTCTCTTTCTCTCCCCTCTCTCTCCCTTCCCCCACTTCCTTCCCTTCCCTTCCCCAATAAAACTTCCTTCTCACGTTAAAAAAAAGAGTCTTGTTTAGTTAATCTTCATTTTATTGACTGATTCGGGGTCCCTCAGTTGACCATGGTGCTCACCAATAGGCTGGTCTGGCTGGCCAGCTTGCTCTAGGGTTTCTGTCTTTTCATTTTCAGCATTGGAATTATAGGCAGCCACAGGACCCACTTTGCATTTTTGTGGGTTCTGGTGGTCCAAACATTGGTCCTTATTGGGCTAGGCAGCAAAAAATTTAACCACTGTTCCTTCTTCCCAGTCAAAAGATTACTGTTAGTTGAGATATAAACCGAATCTCACACCATCACACAATATCTCCATTTGGCCTCTACTCTCTGTGTAGAGGAGCCAGATGTGCCTACCCATCAGTTGGAAAATCAAAATACTCCCTGAGAGACAAGGTTGGACCTAGATGGGGTCTGCTCCTTCAGAGAGAAAACCTACTTTGGGAAGTCAATGATTTTTAATATACCACACTGAAATAACCAGAAATTGCATTAGCTTTTGAGTTTCCTCTGGGAAACTCATGGTTTTATGATATGCAGAGTTTAAAATAATCAGAATTTCTATCAATAAAGCATTGATTTAAGTAATCATGGCATGGTTCCAGGACAGAATACTCTATGGAAGTTACATCTTCAAGGCAGACTTGCTTTCAGAATGTCAGACTCTAGACCGGCCTCATTGCTGGGGAAGCCAGGTGAACAGTAAGGCATGGGATAACCAAGTGCATCAGGTGTGTTGTTTCTAGGTCAACACAGTTAAAAGTCCAGCTTAGTGCGCCATCTATTACTTCCCCTCAGCAGCAACAATAGTGCTAGTGCCTTCAGCTGAAGTAACATGGCCTCGAATGGAAGCATCTTGGGTTTCTGAGTCAGCTCGTGGAAAAGAGATGTAAGTGATAGCCACCCTGTCCACAATGGCATTTGCATTATTATGGAAAACAAAAACTTTTTTCTTTTTCTTTTTTATATGTGAGTGGCATACATTATATGTATGCATGTTTGCATGTATGAGGGTATCCATGTATGTAGTATGTGGTGTGTGTGTGTGTGTGTGTGTGTGTGTGTGTGTGTGTGTGAGGTTGATGCTGGGACTCCTCTTCTAATGTATATTTTGAAGCAAAGTCTCTCAGTCAAACCCAGAGTCCCCTTACACCAACAGCTTTACTAGCCAACTTGCTTTTAGGATCCTGACTCCACCTTGTGAGACTGGAATGGCAGGTGAGTGGGTCACCACACCCACGGCTTCTGGAGATCTGAACTCTAGTCATCTTGCTTTGGGGTCAGTTGCTTTAACTGCTGAGCCATCTCCCTTAGGGTCCCCAAACCGAATACAACTTTTAGCTACCAAGATGTCAAGGCTTACTTGTTACCCCTGTGTAGTTTCTCCCAGCTAATACAGACATCCACATTCACAAGGGATTAGGTCCATAGAAAGCCAAATGCAAACAGAGGACACATTTCAGTGGTGGTCTTAGTGCTGATTTATTTATGCCATTCATTTGGACAAAGATTTACCGAGCCCATCAGCTTCTCCAACACTGTAAAAATGGGATCCAATGATGAGTGTGGCGTTATCGCCCCCTGGGAGAGGCTCACAATTCTTTCGTGGCAGAAGACAGCTCGGGCAGTATACAATTCATGCATACGTTGAAAAAAAAAAAGACAAAAGGGGGGGGGGCGTTAAACACTGAGAGGAGAGATTTCTACATTGGTAACCCAAAGAAAGAGAAATGCGGAGGCCCACCCCTTCAGGCACCCCTGACTGAGCGTATATAGTAGAACCGCAGAACCTCGTTTGCACCAAGGTTTAAAATCCAAAGCTGTGTCGTGGTGGAGCAAACCCCGTGGTGAACATAGTTTGAGGAAAGAGATTTCATTAGATTTTTAGACCATCCCCTCCCCAAAATGTCGCCTGTGTTTAGGACTCGCTGCCTGTAATCTTTCCGCTCTATTTGCTGCATGAACGTTTGTTATTTTAGATCAAAGAAAACGGAGGAAGCCGCTCATCCACTTCCCCAGTGTCTCTCTCATTAAAAGTAATTATTTCCCCAGTTCAGTCCTCTTTGTTCACAGTCGCGTCCAGTGAGGAAACAGGTCTTAAGAAACCCAATTATGTTTGAGGCGGTTTCAGAATCCGATAAAAGGGTTGGGGGCTGGGGCTTCAGAGAGGCCTGGCCTGGCGGGGAAGAGCTTGGGATTTCCGGCACCCTGCCACATTAAGTATTCTGCTCCCTACGATTGGCTTGGAAAGCCCTTGGACTTAAGTAGAGAAATTTTCTAGTTTTAATGTCTAAAGCTGAAAATAATGAATTCCATTAAAAACGAATGAACTCATTTTCTGTATTACTTTACAGTGTATGATTTAATTACTACGCCAGCCAATGAAGAATCACAATTCATTCTGGGAAGTATTTTGGTAATATTGTGCAGTTATGGATTTTTGCTTGCTTTATTTAATGAATCTGTAAAAGACATATAAGTGATTCCTTCACACTGAGGGATTTGATTCCCAGATCATGGTGGAACAAATACATCGATTATTATCAACACATCAACCATGCCCAATTAAAGATTTCTATACAAATAATTTCACAGAATGGATCCTGGAGTCTAGTCTAACATAATTTATGCTGCTTCCTTATTTATTTGTAGAACATTAAATAAAATAGCTTTGTGTCTTGAAGACAAAAAATAATGTTTAAAATTTTAAAGGACTAGTGAAAATTAAAAATAAAAAAAAATTCCCATCTCTCACTTACAGAAAAGAGAATGTGGGACTCAGAAGGCACTGGGCTCAGAGTCCATGCTCCATTTTCTGTACTGACTGTGGCTTTTCATGATTGCTAGAGACACGCCTGCTTCATGGTTCTGTTCACACACGCCTAGAAAACAACCATAGGTCTCTCCCTTGGATGTGGCTGTAACAACCTTCAACAGCCAATGCACAGGACCCACCTTCTCCAGAGGAAGGGGATGGGGTGAATCTGATTCTTGTTCACTTTTTCATGTTTTACTGTTATTTAAAGTTTATTATTTTCATGACCACAGGCTGTAAGTTTGAAACATAAGAGATAATTCAGCCCATATAGAGCTTAACCAGTAAGTAGAAGATGCCACGTAGCATTGGTGACGCCTTTCTGTCCCTTTCAAGTGCAAGCACACAGAGTCAACACCATAACAAACAGATGGCTCTAAGACATTCGTCTTACACAAACATCGTGAAGAAACGGACATAGCCATATAACTATGCATAACGTACATTCTGTCGGTCCACTGAGGAATGCATTTGAATGAAAGATAGACATCTGTACAATCCACCTAACCATTATAAAATGAGGATACATGTATTACACTCAGATTCTGTGGTTATAAGTTATAGGTACTTCATATTTTCCAGGATTTTCTTAAGTTAAAAAATATTTGTTCTCTCAGTGCTAAAGAAAGTTAGATCAGTTTACAAGTGTTGCTTAATATGGAAGGAGTTTAGAGTGAAATGCCCTATTCACTAAAAATACAAAAAAGTTGATAGTCAAGAAAGTCACTCATGTTTGCTGTGTGAGACGGGTTTTGAACACCAGCCATCTGAATGACATGCAGAATGGCTATGGGCAGGGACCACAATTTAAAGATTAAATGAATTAGAATATTTTGGCATTTATTTATAGGTCAGGCAGTAAATTACTCTGATTAAGATGAATCAATATCACCTTGACATGATGACCCCAGGGAATTTTACTTAGTTTTTGGGGTCCTTTTTTTTTGTCAGGATTTGTAGTGGGCATTTATTGTACAAGGTTTCCTTTGACTTGTTTGTAATATTCAGCAATTTACCACCATGACACACACGTACATTCATGCATCCCTCTGGGTCAGGGCATGAAAGAAAGAGTACATAACTTATGATTAAAGTTATACATTAGCTTAGGTTGAAAAAGCTGATTAGCTGGGAAATCCAAAGCACGTAAGGTTGGTTTTACATTGTTCTCCACCCCTCCTTTTGATTTTTCAAGACAGGATTTCTTTCTGTAGACCAGGCTGACCTGGAACTCAGAGAGATCAATCTGCTGAAAGTCTTGGTATCCACAACCTCACGTCAATCAGGATGTCATGTCTAGAAAATAAATTGTTCTACAGTGTTCAGCCCCTTCACACCCTAGTCCAAATTCCACTCTTCTTCTAGGTCAGCTTAACATAAAATAAGCATTTACTACTAGAAGAACTCTAATAACTTGTACAGTTCTTTTTTTCTGTCTACCAATTAAAAATCTAGCAAACATTTGCTATCTTCCTACTCTTATAGGTAAAAATGAGTAAGACAGGAGATGAACTGTTTTAGACCAAAGGTAAACATATACAACACAAGTTCCTTTCCATTTGCGTTCATTGGAAGTTTTTATCATTCAAATAGATGAAGTGCCTTCTAGTTCTAGCTTTGAAGAAAGTTCAAAAATAAGCTTGTCTCCAGCTGAAAAGGGCAGTGCTACAGCAAAGGCCGGAAGTCTGACTTACCCTACAGCAAAGGTTGGAAGTCTTTCTGACCTTACAGCAAAGGCCCGAAGTCCGCCTTACCCTGTACTGATGGGTGTGTTTTGTGATTAAATTTTCTCCACTCTCCAGGATTAAAATGAACATTTACCAGCTTTGTTTGTAAGAAGCCAGTTTTATAAATAGCAAACAATGGAAAGATATAGGATGACCTAAAGGTCTTTAAATCCAGAAGAAAATGTTTCTAGAAATATATTTCCCTGGCTGAGGAAATGGCTCAGTGGTGTTTGCTGTGCAACCATGAGGACCCTGAGTCCAGATCTTTAACATTCTGGTAAAAAGCAGATTGATGGGGAATGTACTTCTTTGTATGTTTATCTTATTGATTATTGAATAAAATACAGTTTGGCCAATGAGACAGCAAGTTAGACAGGACTAGGAGTCAAAGAGGATTCTGGGAAATGTAGTAGAGAAGTGGTGATCCAGGCAGGAAGTGACATAGCAAGGAGACTCATATTTAAGCAAAGGAAACAGGAAGTGTCCCCTTGTCCCTTCTGCTCCTCCTCCAGTGGCACAATGTGATCCACGGGCAAGAGAGGGTGCCAGCGGAAGGCATGCTCTATAAGATAAGTCTTATAAAATATATAGATTTATGATAATTGAGACTGAGCTAACAGATGAGAATCCTAGTCATTGGCCAAGCAGCATTTGAATTTAATACAAGTTTCTGTGTATTCATTTGGGCTCTAACTCGGGTGGGAGGCTGGTGTAAAGTGCACACATGGTGGTGGGGCTCAGTGGCTTTTGTCGGGAAGATTTATCATAACAGCAGATATAGTAGCATGTATCTGTAATCCCAGTGTTCTATGGTAACAAAAGAGGAGAGATGGGGAAATCCCTGGAAACTAGCCTGTGGTACACAATGGTGAACTACAGGGGACCCTGCCTCAAGCAAGGCAAAAGATGAAGACTGACAACAAAGGTGTCCTCTGACCCCCATACTTGTGCTATAGCATTTTCACAGCCACACACATGAATATGCACCCACATCGAAAAGATAAGAAAATGTAAATCGATTTCACATTTGAGGCTATGATGTTTTGAGTGAAAATGGTCTCCATAGGCTCAGAGGGAGTGGCATTATTTGAAGGGATTAGGACAAGTGGCCTTGCTGGGGTAGGTGTGGCTTAGTTGGAGGAATGTGTCCCTGGGGGGTGGGCTTTAAGGTTCCTGATGCTCCGGCCAGACCCAATGTCACTCACTCTTCCTGCTGCCTGCTGATCCAGATGCAGAACTCTCAGCTCCTCTCCAGCACCATGTTACCCTGCCTGTCACTGTGCTCCCTGTCATGAGGACAATGGACTAACCCTCTGAAACATAAGCCAGTCCCAGTTAAACACCCTTTTTATAAGAGTTGCTGTGGTCATGGCATCTCTTCACAGTGACAAAACCCTAGCTAAGACAGAGGGTTTCAGGATTGCTTTTAAATTTTAATCCCATGGTTCAGTCAAATGCATTTTTTAGTAGAACAGTTAGGCTGTGCATGACATTCTCTTTGTAACTAAAGCTCAAGTTAAGCTGGAGTACAGTACAGCAGTAGAGCGCTGGAGTACACAAGAGGCCCTTGGTTCAATCCCCAGTACTGCAAAACCAAAAGAACATGCAGAGCTTCAGCTAGCCAGTATGCCTTAGCTATTAAAAAAAAAAAAAAAAAAAAAAAAAAAAAAAAAAAAAAAAAAGATGGATTCTCTTTCCTTTCCCTCTTTAAAACCAGAGGGGAATACTGCAAACCTTAAGAATCCCACAGCATAATACTAGAACAAGGGTAGCTCTGGCTGATACTACTTCCTCTATTCCAGAAGGAATCATTTTGGGTGCTGTAGCTTTACAAGTCTATGAAGCAAAAAACTTCCAGTAAATGCATGCCAGGGCAGAGGCCCAGGTGAGAATGTCTGATGGTGTTACTACTTTCAGAAGAAAAAAAAACATTTCCAATAGATTTGTTTAAGCTATAATTTTATGTTTTTAGGAATAAAAAATTTGGATTCTCATGCTGATGGGTGGTTATTATTATTAATTATATGAATGGGTGCTTTGCCTGTATGTATATCTGTGCAGCACTTGCATGCAGAGCCTACAGAGGTCAGAAGAAAGCATCA